TTCGAATACTGACGGTTTACCTGTCCAAGAGCTTGGTTGGAAGTCTTGTATTTTTATGACAAATAATGCCTTTGGTGGGTGCATGAAATGAATAGTGGGTGTGTTTATTGCATCGTTTGTGTGGGAAGCCACGTCTCAGTTTAGCACATGCCTATTCATATTCAATCAAATATCCTAGGGGAACCCCATTCTGAAGAAAGATGCACATCCATTCTGTAAGCGTCATTTATCTGTGTCTGAAAACTGAGCTCTCTGAGAAGAATTTTTCCCATGTTCTTAATAACACCATTTTTCTTCACAGAATACACTATGTAGCAGGAAAACGGAAGTGAATGTCATAGAGTGAATTGGAGATGTTTGTATTCAGTCATCACTTGGGGGCTTTTTTTCTCCATTGTCAAACACCAAATACTAAATGCATATGGAAATAATAGGCAAGTTTTATTTCCATGCTTTTCAACGTTCTGCCCCTGAGAGGTACCATGTGTCATCTGGCCACCAGTCACTCAATGACTGGAGCCTTCCACATGCTGTGTGAGGCAGGGGGAGGGTCTAAACGCTGAATGTTCCTTGGACGAGCTGAGGGGTAAAATGGGGCCTGACATCTGACCACCCTGCTACGGGTTTTCTTTCTGCGGACTTTGTAGCATCCTCATGCTCATTTTCTGTCAGAAATTTTTCTCAAGAAGTGACTTGAACTTTGTTATTCACAGGAAGGGTTCGATGAGGGGAAGGAGATTAGAGGGCCAGGGAGTTCTGCTGTGCAAGTCTCTGAGGGAGGCTAGGCCTGCCTGTCTCCCAGAACCAGTCCTTGAAAAGGCCTGGGTTGAAATGGTGTGGAGAATGCCTTAGCGTTCTAATTTTGTCCAAGTGTCACAGTGTCGAAAAATAGATCAGACTGTAGAGTCAGGAGCAGTGCCAGACCCAAGTGTAGGGTTGGTTTTTTTTTATTCTGTCTGATTTCTCTCAAGAAGAAAGCAGCGTCATGCTGTTGTCTGGATCCTTCTTGTTGACCTTGGTCACTAGGAGTTAGGAGAGCCAGCTTTTTGCTTTTATTTTATCTGTGTTTTTCTTGTTTTAAAAGGCAATTTGTATAAGGTCTTAAATGTAATGAGTTAAAAGCACAGGATAAGCCGGGCACAGCAGGTACTGGGGCCCACCCAAACGGGGTAACTGAGAATAGCATAATTATTATACATTTATTATACAAAGGGGTGGGCAGGGTGAAGGGGGCATGAGAGGAGTGCTGCAGCCTCCCTGGAGAGGAGCCCTTTCCACTCCTAGACCTGCTGGGGCCCAGTTTCTCAGAGAGTAGTCCTGAACTAGGAGCACCAGCATCCCTGGGAACCTGTCAAAGATTTAGGCACAAATGCAGTCACTGGGGGGTTACACACATTTTAGCATTTGTCATGTTAAACAATTTTTAAGCAACCCTAACTATCAAGAGTGAGCAAATGTTACACTTAATTACATTTAATAGATTATTGGCAGCCCATTTAAAAGGGTAGTATTTTCAAAGAAAAATTTAAGTAAAATATCTTCTCTGTTTAAAAAAGAATTATTCTCTCTCTCTCACTCTCTCTCTACACACACACACACACACACACACAGACACACACACAGATTAGGTAGGTAGGTAGGTAGGTAGGTAGGTAGATAGATAGATAGATAGATCTGAGGATGAGAAACATTTAAAAACATCATAAAAAGTCAAATATCCATTCTTTTGAAAGATTCGTTTCAAAGCGTCTAGAAAAAGAAAATGCCTTTTTACTTTTTGGCTAAAGATTTCTGATGAAGAAAAACGTTCATATTCTTTAAAGTTTAGAAAATCATTCATACTTCAAAGCCCAGGTCCGAGTTTGTGAGCTGCCCCCAGGAATACTCTCCCCAGGTGGCAGCACCCGAGGTGACATGGCAAAAGCACGCTGTGGACAAAGAGAAAATTGATGTGGAGCTACAGACTGTTTGTCTGCCAATATCTACAACAGGGAAGAAAGTACGAGAGAAGATGGGTCTGTCTCCCTATTACTGGAAAGGATAAAATCTTGAGTTACAAAAGATCTCATTGATTGCAGATGCCAGATATTTGCATATTTTCTGTTGGTTTGTCAGAGGCTCTAAAAAAATTTTTTCAGGCTGTTTATATAATTTGAGTAAAGATGTTTAGTCTTTTCCCCGTCTATATACTGGTTTTGGTGGACAGAAATTCTTTATTTTAATGGAACTTGAATTTATTATTTTTTTTCCTGTATGTTCAAAGTCAGGAGAACAGGTAGCCCAAAAAACAAGGGAAAAAGAACAACCACCACATGGTTCAATAGAGAGAACCGACTATGGAGAACTCATCACAAAAGTGTTGGACTTGCTGAGAAGCCACACAAGGGATGCTGAGGCAATCAGAGAGGAGCTACAGCAGAAGTGACTGTCATTCCCAAGGGCTGCAGGGACAAAGGGAGGAAGTTGATTGACCAGAATGGAGGTGATACTACCTGTGGGAGCTGAACTCATAGGTGGGCTACCTGGTGGGAGCTGGGACCTGGGAATGACCTGGAGTTGTCTGGGAGGAGATGAAGTCACTGCCAGAGGAGCCATCTCACAAGCTTCTTTCTTCCTCCTACCACCAAGCTCCAGCCAATGAATCCTGTTAACCCAACCTAGCCAGATGCCAGCTGCAAGGGAGCACGGACTCCACAGATTCCAGGGGTCAGCCTCTCCTGTATAGAACAGAGCAGAGGACAGGAAATGGACCAGACAACAAACTACCAGGTAGCACATCCTTGATGGTCAGTGCTTGTTGGGTCTTCCTTCTTTAAAATTCCTTTCTGTTCTGAGGGCATGAATATATTCTTCTATGTTATCTCCTATAAGCTGGATATAAGGTTTCACATTTAAGTGAACAATCCATCTGGAATTGGTATTCGTATATAGTGTGAGGTAGGGATGAAATTGCAATTTTCTGTTTATGAAATGTTGATTTACCTCAGCACTGTGTACCAAAAATACCAGTTTCCCCCTGCCCTGTTATGCTAACTTTGTCACAAGTTAACCGTATATGAATCGTCTGTTTCTGGATTCTCTACTCTGTTCCAATAGTCTATTTTTTGTTTCTATGCTAATGTTATAATTTGTTGTATTATTGCTTTATAATAAATTGTGTCCTTTTTTCTGGTAAAGCAGGTCCTTCTACTTTTTTGCAGGAAGATTTTTCAGTTATTGGCTTTTTGTATTTTATATAAATTTTAGAATCAGTTTTTCAAGTTCCATCAAAAATATCCTCAATTGAGATTTTGACTGGGATGACCGTGAACCTATAAATCAAGTTGGAGAAAATTAACATCTTTAAAATGAATTTTCCAATTGATAAATATGGTATGCCTTTAATGTTTCTTAATAAAGTTTTGTGATTTTCCCCATGTCTTTTATGATGTTACTAGACACTTGTATGGTCCTGACACATAGAAATACAATTTATTTTTATACTTTTTATGCAATGAACTTGCTGAATTTTACTTAACATTCTAATAGTTGATCTGAGCATTCTTTTGGATTTTCCACATACTCAAATATGTCATCTGCTCATAATAATGACTTGTTTCTTCCTTTTCAATAATTAAAAATTATAATCCTGTACTGGCTGGGGATTCCACCACAATGTGAAATATAAGAGGTGATCTCAGACATCTTTGTTTTGTTCCCAATTTCAAAAGAAATTTTCAGGATGATTCAATTAAGTAGAATATTTGCTCTATGGTTTTATTGATAATTTTTACCCAGCTTAGGAAGTTTCCTTCCATTTCTCATTTTCTTAGAGTCTGTGTATATTAATAAAAATATAAATGGATGTGATCATTACAAATAATAAATAAATAAATAACTACAAATCGATGTTGAATTTTGTCAGGTGCTGTTTTGCATCTCCTAAGGACATCACATAATACATTCCCTTAAATCTCTCAATGTGGTGAATTATATTGATTAATTTTCTGGCAACCTCACATTCTTGATAGAAGCACATTTGGTTATAATGTATTTTCCTTTTTATATATTGTTGGATTTAGTTCACTTACATGTTGTATAGGATAACATTTATGTTTATGAATAAACTTGGCCTGATATTTTTCTTTCATTTACTGTCCTCGCCAGGGTTTGGTATGGTTATACCAGCATGCTAGTTTTCTATTGCTGCTGTAACAAATTACCACAAATTCAGTGACTTAAACAACACAAATTTATCTCCTTACAGTTCTAGAGGTCAGAAATCTAGCACAGGTCTCACTGGGCTGAAATCAAATCAAGGTGGCCACAGGGCGGCATTCTGATCTCAAGGCTCTAGGGGAGAGTCTGTTTCCTATTCATTTAGATTGTTGACAGAATTGAGCTCCTTGAGATTTTAGTACCTTGGTTCCTAATTCCTTACTGGCTGTAAACTGAGGATCATCACCAGCTTCAAGAGGCTTTCATACCTTTTGCTTGAAAACCCCATCCTCCATTTTCAAAGCCAGCAACAGCCTATCTGAGTCCCTCTCCTGTCACATCTCTCTCATCCTCCTTCCGCAGTCATACTTTGCTCTGATTGCAGCCAGAAAAGTTTATTTGCTTTTCTGAACTCATGTGATTCCACTAGGCTTGCTTGGATAATAGGGTAATCTCCCCATATCAAGGACAACTTTAACACTTCTACAAAGCCCCTTTTTCCATGGAAGGTAACGCATTCACAGGTTCCAGGAACTAGGCCATGGACATCCTTGGGGAGCCATCATCTGCCTACTACAACCAGTAAACCAGGGAGTTTACGAAGGTTTTCTAGACCCTGACATAGTTTGCGTTAAATTGGAATTTTTTTACTTCTATGACTATTTGGTCAAGCTTACCAGTGAAGCTACAAGAGCCTGGAAATTTTTTAGAGGATTTTTTTTTTATTGCTATTTATACTACTCAGGATAAGATAGGTTATTCTGTAGTAAATGGCTTATTTCCTGCTCATGTCACACTTGCCTGGAGGTTGGATGATCTTCTTGTGGCTATCCTTGAAGCTGCCACTCAGTGATGCAGATTTCTTCCAAAAAGGGGAAAAAACAAAATATGCATGAATAGTAGAATGGAGTAATAAATTATTCTATATTTACACTTTAGAATGATGACAAAGAAAATGAGCAAATTAGGACTACACACAACAGCATAAGTGATTCTTATAATGCCATGCAGTAGGCAAAAAATGAAGAAATTATACAGGATTATTTCACTCATATGAAGCTAAAAATCAGGCAAAACTATATTTTTAGGGATCCATAAACAAGAGGTAAAAGTAACACATGAAAGTAAGTACAAAAATTAAGGACATTGGTTACTCTAGGTATAAAGAATATTTAGATCCCTTGAAATTCAAAAACCCTGTCTTTAAAGTTATCTTTTACCTAGTCTCTCTTAAATTTTGATTATTACTATCAGAAGTTTCTCCTTGCCTTGAGAATGGAGTGGACATTACAGGCATATTTCCCAAAAAAAGGGAAAACATCTATTAAATTATTTTAAGCAGCACTACATACATGAAGACAGTTATTAATATGGAAAAAGGCTTTGAAACAGGTGGAGGCAGAAACAAATTGCTTTTTCTAAGCCCTCACCTGTTAGGTTAACATGAAGTTATCCTTCTATTTCAATGGTCAAAGGTGCTCAGAGAGCCTGGCCAACGTGGCAAAACCCCATCTCTACTAAATATACAAAAAAATTAGCCAGGCATAGTGGTGGGCACCTGTAACCCCAGCTACTCGGGAGGCTGAAGCAGGATAATTGCATGAACCCAGGAGGCAGAGGTTGCAGTCAGCCAAGATTGCACCATTGCACTCCAGCCTAGGCGACAGAATGAGACTCAGTCGCAAAAAAAAAAAAAAGTTTAGGGAATTCACTTTGATTTCCTAATTCTGGATGTGTGAACACACTTGTACAAACCTGCACATATGGCTTATTCCAGGGAGTGCCTTTCCCATACAATATGATGTGAATTGTTCCCCTGTGAAACCACGTGTGTGTTTGTATTTGTATGCGTGTGCATGTGTACATTGTCATATGCACCTTAGTCATTTGTAGGTCTTTCATCGATAATTCACATAAGTCTCAATCCACACTCTTTTCTAACTTTTATTTTAGATGCAGGGATACTTGTGCAGGTTTGTTACATAGATAAACTCATGTCATGGGGGTTTGGTGTACAGATTATTTTATCACTCGGGTAGTAACTTAGTACCCAAGAGTTATTTTCTCTGTTTGTCTCCCTCCTCCAACCCTTTACCCTCAAGTAGGCCCTAGCGTATGTTGTTTCCCTTTTAGTGTCCATGTGTTCTCATCATTTAGCTCCCACTTAAAAGTGAGAACATGTAGTATTTGGTTTTCTGTTCCTGTGTTAGTTTGCATAGGATAATGGCCTCCAGCTGCATCCATGTTCCTGCAAAAGACATGATCTCATTCTTTTTATGGCTGCGTAGTATTCCATGGTGTGCACCACATTTTCTTTCTTGTTTTAAATTATTATTATTTTTCTTATTATACTTTAAGTTCTAGGGTACATGTGCACAATGTGCAGGTTTATTACATAGGTATACATGTGCCATATTGGTTTGCTGCACCCATCAACTCGTCATTTGCATTAGGTATCTCTCCTAATGCTATCCCTCCTCCAACTCCCATCCCCCAACAGTCCCCGGTGTGATGTTCCCCATCCCCTGTCCAAGTGTTCTCATTGTTCAATTCCCACCTATGAACCACATTTTCTTTATCCAGTCTACCATTGATGGGCATTTAAGTTGTTCCTGTGTCTTTGCCATAGTCAATAGGGCTGCAATCAACATATGTGTGCATGTGTCTTTTTGATCTAACAATTTATATTCCTTTGGGTACATACCCAGCAATGGGACTACTGGGTCAAATGGTAGTTCTCTTTTTTGCTCTTTGAGGAATTGCCACACTGATTTCCACAATGATTAAACTAATTTACATTCCCACCAACAGTGTATAAGCATTCCCTTTCCTCCACAACGTTGCCAGCACCTTTTTTTTTTTTTTTTTTTTTGACTTTTTGATAATAGCCATTCTGACTGGAGTGAAATGGTATCTCATTGTGGTTTTGTCAATCCCCATTCTTTAATTATCACAGTCGAAATAATCATAGTTTAAAATAGCCAAAGAACAAATTGAAAAGGGTGCAGTGACACTTCATAGTTAATGTAGCCAAGTTTGTGGGTCTGTGGCTGGTTGGCTACAATTATACACAGATTTAAATGGTGTTTTCTTCATTGCCCCAAAGCCACCAGTTTTCAAAATGTTTTCTTTGGAATTCTGATAATCTTCAAGTTGTTATTATATATTTCATGAGCAGGAACAAAAGTGGCTTTGATCCAAAGTAATTGGGGGAAAGGGTTAAACAATGTTAAACACTTACCTCAACCACTTGGACTCTTCATTATGCTCAAGTGCATTTTTGCCTCTCCAAGTAAGGATACAAGATTCAGCCTTTCTAAACTTCTATGTGATCTTGGCTTCGAATTGCTACCCAGACTAGTGATCCTTAGACAATTTTGATGGTAACACATGTCAATAGAGCCAAAACAGTAAAGAAACTACAAAGACCTCTTTGGCTTACTTTACCTAACCCTTCCCAATTTTTACTGAAAAGAAGAACTATCAATGGAATTGCATGAGAAACATAATACTTTGATTCATTTTATGGTTCACCAGCAGACTTTCATGGCCTACCATACACATACCTGAGGAACACTACCCTGGATCATATCATTTTCTTATAAATATTTAAATGGCTATAATTTCATGGAATCCATTGTGAAGATGTAAACTTAGTCCGAATAGTTGATTATGTCATCCTAAGTACAATAAATTATAACCAGCTACACTGAATAAAAATACCTTTTCTCTCTTTAATAACTATAATCTGTTATCTACAGAACTAACTCTTGACTTTAAGAATAATATTTCCTTAATCATCTATAATTAAGTCAAAAACTGTAAGATTATTTTGCAAGTATCCATACTGTCAAAAAAGCCACACCATTTAAGAATTAGGTATCTCACAAGCTATTTATTGATACGCATTTATTTTTACTCCATGGTTGAAGTCATTTGTCTTCAAAATAACTGAACTCAATAACCCCATAGAACGTCAAAGGGGGGAAGTGTTTCCATATGTTAAATAGTGTCCTTCTAAGGAATATGGGGGTGGGGGGCTGCTCAAACCACATGTTAGTCATCTCCAGCAACAGCCAGGAAACCATGCCTGTGTTGCAAGACGAGTGAGTAGAGCATTGAAATAGAGCACGTGTGGCCTTTAGAACTATTTTCATGATTATGTGCCATCCTTGCTCCTAATCTCTTCCTTGGATTCACATGGGCTGTGCTCTCAAGGAAACTAAGGCAGAAGTGTCACTTAAGGCCAAATACAGCCACAGCTTACTTACAAACCACCAAGGACAGATGTGACTTAGCCAGATGAAATGTTTTCTCTGCAATTAGCTTCAGCCAGTTCCTCTTGTCCTCCATCACCCCCTCCCTATTCATACTCTGGATATTTATCCTTTGAGAGTCACCTGTTAGCAACCGCATGGCCATTTGGTCTCCGGTCAGGAACAAGCTGCTGCTATTATTGCAGTGTGCTTAAACCAGAAATAAATGTGAGTTACCAAGCAATTCCTTAGCCTAAGAACAAAGGGGTCTATAATAGTTAACTGGAAATGGTCTTTTTTATTTTTTAAGTCTATTCTTGGAATGGCAGGAACTCTCACTATTAACTATTGAACATAATGCTTAGATCCTGTTGTCATCCTCACATTCTCTATCTCTAGCTTCAGCCACTGATGTGGTGATCACTTCTACACAGGCTCCTATCATCTTCATGCAAATGTAGACTGAAATTGTCTGTCTTACCTGCAAGCTGTCTCTTTCCTTCTCTGCTAGAACATCTCTGGCATTTTTCTTTTCTCTACTTTGAAATCATTTCCAGTTGAAGTTTTGTTCTCAGAAACGTCCCTAATATATGTGTGTATGTGTAGTTGTGTAGCAAATACCCCTTGGTATATGATTACTTGCAAAAAAATTCAAATCATTCAGAAAAGTTCTAAGAAGTAAATAACTTCTAATCTCATGGCTCTAATCCTTTGGTCAATTCCTCTTAAAACCACCACTCTCAAAACAGTCTAACTATTTTGACTTCCAAACCTATGTGATCAGCCTGAATCTTGCTTCTGCAGTCCATAGAAGTGTTTTCTACTGCTAATGAGCATCTCTAGGTGATTAATGCAGGAACACACACTCAACGCAGGTACAGTTAAGCTGATTATTTTCCCCACATTTGTGTCCCTGTCTCAGTTGACAGTTTAAATACTCTACACCTGTCATTCCTAGGTTACTTCCCCTCCCTCACTTCCCGTTGCCATGCACTTATTAAGTCCTGTGAATTCCTTCTCATCCCGTCTCCACCATCCATCTCTTTCTCCCAGCTTTTCTTCTGCAAAGTGTGGCCCTGGCTATCTATTTTGTAAGACCCATGGAACAGTCTCCTCAGTTGTGTCCTTGCAAGCAGCCTCAGCATATAGTCCATGTGTAGTTCATTGTACAGAAGGTTGATTTTAAAACAAAAGTCTGTGGGTGGTGGTGTTCTGCTAAAGCCTTCAGTGGTCTTTTATCCCAGCAAGTGAAAGTTCCAGTCCTGTCCACTTTCTGAGATAGGCCCTTTGTTGATTGCATGGTTCCATGCATATCTCATATTGCACTGTGTCCCCTTAGCATATCCTGGGCTTCGGTCATGTCAAAACCTTACAACTTCTCCAAATAAGCAATTCTGCTTTATGCACAATTCAATAGAAATGTAATACAGGCCACAAATACTACTAGTCACATATATAATTTTAATTATTTAATAACCACATCAAAAAAGCAAGAAAAAATAGGTAAAATTAATTTTAATAATATATTTAACTCAAGACACCCAAAATGTTATGATTTTAACATGTAATTTAAGAAGGATTGAGCCTTTGATACTTCGATCAACAT